CCTTCCTTCCTTCCTTCCTTCCTTCCTTCCTTCCTTCCTTCCTTCCTTCCTTCCTTCCTTCTACTTTGCTAGATATTTTAACGCATAATTCCAGAATTCAATTGCTTAGATGCTTTAAGTTAACTATGAATACATGCATATGACACAGAGAATGTTGTAGACATCTTTAGGAAATATAATCTGTCATATTTTGCTTGTGTCTTTTGGGATAATTTTAATCTTTTTCTTATGTGAACGGTTTTTTCAACAGTCAGTTTCTTAGTGGTATTTTTATGTGATTTGGCTATATATATCTTTAGAATAAATTCCTAACAAGAGGATTGCTAAGCTAAAACATACCTTTAGAATATTAGGAGATGTTAAAGTGGCTTTGTAAACAGCTCTGCCAGTTTATACTTGTACTAGTTCCTTAGTTCCCATTTTGAAAATACAAATATAGAAATGCATTCAAAATGCAAAGATTTTTTAAGTTGTATTTATTTAGTTTTTTTTTTTACATTTTCTCTCTGCAATGAATCTCATAATTCAAATGAACATAATTCACCCATAAAATTGTTGCAGAAAAAATTTTATTGAAGTAAAATTCATATAAAACCAGCATTTTAATGTCTAAAGAGTATAGATCAGCTTTGTGGTGGTTTTTTTTTTTTTTTTTTTTTTTTGGAGAAACATGCATGCACACACACCCACAGGGATCTTCCATACAGTGATTCACTCCCCGAAAGGCCCATAACAGCCAGGACTAAGCTTTGCTGAAACTGGGAGAAAGGAATTTAATCTGGAGTCTACAGTGTAGATGACAGGGACCAAACTACACGAGCTATCACCTGCAGCTCCCAAAGTAAGCATTAGCAGAATCTGGAATCAGAAGCAGAGCCGACTCAAATCCAGGCATTCTGATAAGAGACTTAGAGATAACAAGCATCATTTTAAATGCTAGGCCAAATACCTACCCCAAGTGTAGATAAATTCTTAAATCACATTTTATATAGAAGATTGGATGTTTCCTTTAATACATGTTAAGTGCTATAATGTAACAAATAAGGAAGTCATGATTGGTGCAGAAATTCCATTAGAAATTGGAATCATTTTTTAAATACTTAAATGACTCTAGGAAGATATAACATTGACTTTATTCTAGAAAGAATTTCAGAGGAAGTTCACATAAAATTTTATCAGTTTAATTAAATTGAAAATGTATGTGTAAGTTGTCTTAATGCATGTGATACTATAATTAAATGTCATTACATCATATTTCCCTGTAGAAACTTTATTATAAAAATATCACCAAGTAATCTATGCCTATCACAGAGCCCTCCATATCAGAGATGATTCATAAACTACATGCAGCTAAACATTCCATTTATATGCATCATGGTTACACATCTATTAAACCGCCTTTCTGTCTTTAACTGCTAATATAGCAACAGCTAATTAAACGTTTTGTTGATAGCTTTCTGTAGGGCTGTCACAGTATTTAATGACTATAAAAGTATAACATGACACAGTGGCAATTTAAAATACTCCTGAGACTTTAGATGTTTTATCCCACTGAGTTTATATTGAGAATCTGATGATATTTATCTCATGCTGGACTAAAGAAAACTTAGTTGTAAGCAACAGAGTTTTACATTATCCAAAAATTGTTTGAAAATTCTGCTCTTTATTCCAGTTTTTGATTAATGATGTAAGCTCATGATCTCAGCTATATGTATAGCCTTTTCATTTGGCATACACACATGCACAACCATGCATCTGCACACACACACACACACACATACAAACACATATACATAAGATGTTGCCCCACAAAAAAGATAAAATCTTATATACATGCTACATTAATGTAAAATTTTCAAATAATGTATATATCTAATAGTTAATGATAAAAATATATTTAGCATTCTAATATTTTTTAGAGAGGTAATGTTGAAAGTCTGGATTTAAGCCTGAGTATTATTTGCATTATGTGCAATTATTATAAAGAGTCTAAATCTACAGGTGTTCAGCTTCTAGCTTAAGATTTTTATGAGTATTTCAGCATACAGGACTGTTTTTTGGATCTAATATGAGTTTTCTGGAGTGAGTAGTTTCTCATGAGACTCAGTTTTTAAAAATACAGTTAAAGCAAAGAAGGAAGGCATTCATTTTCATGTTGAAAATGCTTTGAGAGGGAACATTTCCTCATATGGTTCAACTATTAAATGCAGGTGAAATAAACCTAAAAAGGGAAGCTTGTTTTTTTTTAGCTGTAATGTAACTGAAGAAATGACTCAAGGCACAGTCTTATATAAATATGTATTTTATTATTTTCCTTATATCTCAGTGGAATATTGTGATAAGCTAAATAATTTCTTTAATAAAATTAATTGTTTTAATCTAGTTTATGAATGATCTGCATTAAGTGCTTATTTTTTTTATTATAACTTCATAGCCAGTGTAATCTACTGAGAACATTTTTGGCTCTAACAGAAACAGAATTCTGTTCTTGGATCTGGCTTTGTATGTAACACCAAATACGTCATTTTTCTTCCATATGTACCTCGTTTACTGCAGTGTTACTATTACATTTCAGACGTTCATATGGTGGGTAGTATCTGCAGCCTGAAAGAACAGTTAGCAAGTATACTAATTGCACTTTTGTGGTGTGGTCTATTCTCCAGGCTTACTATTTATTGAGTTAATTGATGCCTGCTGCTTAATCAGAGGTTTTACCCACATGGAACTATTTGATAAGCTTGGCATAAAATGCAAGATCTGTGAAATGTAAACAATGTTCATAGTATAAGGCCCTATAATCAAGCCAGATCCTTCGACATTTGAAAATAGTGCAGCTGCATGAGAAGTAGTTTTCTATTTGATCTTTTTTTGCTGTGGACATTTAAAAGCATTGTCTTTACTTTGGTTTCCACATGCTGGTACTTATTGTGATGGTTTCTCTCTTTTTTTTCCACTCTTCTGTTATTCTCCTTCGTCTTGCCTCACTGCCATTTTGCCTTCCCCCACTCCCTTTATGATCCTCTTATTTTGGTTCCTTCTTTCTCTCACTGAATATCTTTCTACTTACTTTTTTGGATTTTCTTAATTCTGACTTTCTTTTTTTGGACTAATCTAAGTCAGACCATACCAAGTGTACTGCTGAAGCAGCTGGAAATAATCTCCTAGCTTTTGCATTCTTTGGGCACCACAGTTTGGGAAATATGGATTGTGTGCCTTTGTAGGCATGTTTTGTTCAGGATATTTTCAAGATCTTGCAGCCAGCCCTTTTCTGTTCTATTTGTGGCAGATGAGAATTTCTTGAGAGAAATTACGAGTTTAATGTATGAATATGTTTATTTCAAAATCCAGACTATTGCATAGTGTTAACAATTTTTAAACAATTGTAAACAATGTTTAAACAGCTACTACAGTGCAATTATCTGTTGGAAGATACAGAGTAAGATTTAATGAGTGTAGTCATCAGGAATCTCTTTCCATCCCAAAGAATCCTTACAAAAAAAAAAAAAAAACAAAACATTGAATTAGCCCATGAGTTATTTTTTAAGTGTTGAATTTCATATGAGGCGAACATATTACTAAATAATGTCTCATTTAGTACAAAGAAGATATTTAGAATTGATACAGATCTTTTTAACCTTTGTTTTCAGAGATTACTTAATTTTAGGCTTCATCCGGATATATAACTTTTAAAGAATGTGAAGTTACTACTTGTATCCCTCAAGCAATTTCACAGGAAAAAATACTAAAATTAAAAAGTGCTGAGAATAACAAGTTGAAATGTTTCCCCATGTTAAATCAGTAGTTAGTCTTTTCCATTTTCAGCATTGTAGTCATCGTATTTCTACTGGATTTTCTGATGCATTAGAGTTTTAAAGTACTGTATGTTTGTGAGTCTGTGTGCTGTATTTAATTATTATTAATCATATAAATTTGAATAGCTTTGAGAATTTGTCATTGACTTCCTTTATTATGTTTATAGACAAAGAAATGCATTCAAAATCATCACTTGGGAGGAAGAGTGGAGTAGTTTAATATTCTGTAATCAGAGGCTTTTGTGGCACAGCAGTTAATCTGCCACTTGGGATGCCCACAACCTATATCAGAGTAGGGTTTGAAGCTCGCCTCTACTTTTTTAGAAGATTTATTTATTTATTTGAAAGGCAGTGTTAGAGAGAGGCAAAGACAGAGAGAGCGAGGTCTTCTATCCACTGGTTCGCTCCCCAGATGGCTGCAATGGCCAGAGCTGCACTGATCCATCAGGAACCAGGTGCTTCTTCTGGGTCTCCCATGTGGGTGCAGTGGTTCCAGGACCTGGGCCATTTTCTATTGCTTTCCTAGGCCATAGCAGGGAGCTGGATCAAAAGTGAAGCAGCCAAGGCCTGGAACTGGTGCCCATGTAGGCGCTGGCACTGCAGGCAGCGGCTTTACCCACTGTGTCACAGCACCGGCCTCTGTTTCTGATCCAGCTTCCTGCTAATGCATCCCTTGGGAGTCAGCAGGGAATGACTTAAGTACTTCAGTCCCTGCTACCCACGTGGGAGACCTGAAATGTAGTTCCGTGTGCCTGACTTTGGCCTGGCTATTGTGGGCATTTGGGGAGTGAACCAGTGAGTGGAAGACCTCATTTTTACCCCATTGCACTTTCAAATAAATGAAAAATTGTAAAAGTATTTTCATTGTGTATCTAGATAAGCATATGGCTTACATAACTTAAATGTATTTAATATCATGTGTTTTAATGTTGGGGTAGAGTTTATTTTTTCATCACTATTTTAATTGTGTATTTTAAGAAATAACCACCCAATGGGATATGCAGAAAATAGTTAAGAACAACTTTAAATACCTTGATTTTTAAACCTAACTTTTTCCTCTTATCATGCCTCATTTATTGGTCTCATATCTTAATGTGTCATTCTCCCATTCCCTCACAGATTTCTCCTTATGCTTAAAGTTACAAGCAAATCTGCAGTGTATTCATAAGTCTCTTTCTTTTGTTACAGTGAATCAAGAAGGCAAAGAAGACACCATGGTTTTGAAGATTGGCTCTGTTGCCATGGCACCCCAGGCTGACAATCCCCTTGGCAGATCTGTCCTCAGGAAAGATATTTACCAGTAAGTTTATTTTCTTATGTTCAATCTTGCAACAATTTCATCCTGCCAAGAAGTACAGTGATCAATAAAAATTGTTAGTGTGGCCTGTAGAAGTACTTTTCATTTGGGGTCTTTTGATATTTAAAACCAGGTTTTTCTGATTTTCTTCAGTTGTGGGTTTTTAAATTCATTCAGACAAATCAAGTATTTCTGTGAAGTGTTGATGAATAACAGAATGTAAGTACCAAGTCACCATAAAACTGAAGAAGCGTAGTTTGGAAAATTTTAGCAGACTTCAAATTTGACCAAATCTCTAATCACATAAGAAAATGAGGTCCTCTCTAGAACTACCACATCCTACTGTAGTCATGTTGTATCAAAGCGAAGCGTTTTCTTAATTTAAGAATAAGCCATTATTTGAAATGTAGGGCTGGATGTCATATGGATCAAAGCTGTAAAGAAAAGCAAACTTCTAAGGAGAAATTTCACAGTAAACACTTTCTGTGAAAATGCCGTGCTCTGGATTTTGTCACTGAGTATTTGCAAACCACACAAAGCATATATGGACAACTAAACTGGTGAACATATGTAATCAACATGATAAAAATACAACATGATTTGGACTGAAGTTGGCACTGCTGCCAGACATGAAAGTACAGTTGCAAATAATACCAAGTGAGAAAAGTCACAGAAATACAGATGAACAAGTGTCTTATTCTTCCTGCTGGTCTGTTTTTCAGATGTTGTAGTCTCCCTCTTCTAAAAAAGAAATTTCTACTGTTCACCAGTAAATATTCCTTGCCAGGAAAATATTGGTAATTCACTTACCACCTAGAAGGTGACAGCTATCTTTTATTTTAAAGGGATTTAAGGATTTTATTTCTCAAGTGTCTCTGATACATGAGTTGATCATTTCCCCCTTGATTTATATATCATGGTCTCATCCTTTTAATATTTTCCATATTCAATGATATTCATCCCTCAAGTAAATTTTTCTAACTGCTTTGCATAAAAACTCATTTTGTAAAAGCTAATGGAGGTTCAGGAATTACATAATGCAACTTCTCTAGTATTTCATAGATTGAGATAGTGAGAATCTAAAAGTATAGTTGTCTCTAGTCAAACAATGATAAAGCCAAGATTATGACTCATATCGTTTGCATCCCTTAAAACCTAAGGGAGGAATTATAGTAGAGAGTAGAATGTGGGTAAAAAATACTTTAATTTTCCAACATTTGGAAATTCTTTGAGGTTTACTTATTTTTTCCACTTCAGATGTGAGTGGTCCTCAAATAGGGTCCCAGTTTCCTTTGGATGGATGGAATCTTGTCATTATTTTAAAAATCCTTTCATTATCAATAAAATAAATCAGAATAGCTCCTTCCTATCTCTACTCTTTCCCTTTCTGGTTCTTGCCTGAAATGTATCTTTAGTTGATTGGAAGTATGTACTCTCTGAGGCATTTCCTTTAGATTTTCCAGCCATCCATCCAGCCGCTTCTTTTCATTCTTCTTGTCTTCCTCCTAAAGAGTCCTTTACTGTTAGCATTACTTAAGGTCGATCTTTTATTCCTTTTCTGGATGAGACCATCTAACCTCCTTGCTCAAGAGAACTTGAACTGCAAACATGTATAATAGCTTGGCGAACCCTCCTATCCCCAGGGTAGCAATACACGTTAGAATATCAAACATCATAAAAATCTGGGTGCTAGACAGCATACTCAACCGAATTGTTTTATCTTGAAAGCTCATATTCCATAGTCATTTCTAAATAAATGAACTAACCAAAGGTCTTCCCATAGGAGTTCATCAGAAACACTTTAAGGTCTCCTTGAAATGCTGTATCATCAACATCAGAGGAAGAATAGCATGAGGAGGAAACCACATTACAATGAAATAATCAGTGTGGGAGTGGCTCAATTAGAATAAAAATGTACACACAAGAGCAAAGGGCCTTGCATCCTGAGTCGATTTTTGTTATTCCTGTGATGATGATAACCATAAATTCTCAATGGACCAGATGCAGAAGGCTTCTTACTGTATTATTCCATTTATGTGCAATATCCAAAGCAGATAAATCTGTGGAAACAAAGTCTATCAGTGGTTGCTAGGGCCTAGGGGGAGGAGAAAAGGGCAAGTAATGTTAATGAAGATGAGGTTCATATTGGGGTAATGAAATGTTCTGAAATATAGTATGCGATTTATATCTCAATGTAAAAAATCATAATGAAAAGAATGTAAGGCAAGCCTGAACCTTTTTAGCTAGTTCTATGATAATTTAACTTTTCAACTACTACCATTTAGTCATTCTGGAGTTCTAAAACCTTTTGTGGAGTGAGGGAGCTAAGGAGTTTAAAGACTAGGCTGTGTGGCAGTTTGTGTTATACTTTTTCCATTTCTGTGAACTTTATTCTTAATTCTCTGGTGAAAGGTAATTTCCCTCATTTTGTGGTCCATTTCACAATGTTTCCCACTATGTGTTCCATAAAATACAGGTTTCATGCAATATTAATAGTTGCTCAAACAAGTTTGGCAAACTTTTGGTTATCCAAAGTTGAAAACACTTTGTAACAGCTTGGCTTCTCAGAGCTCTTAAAAGACTAGGAGCCCTGTGAATTCCTGAAAGAAAGGTAGAGAGGGCCAAATTTTCCAAACTTAAAGGTGGGTATATTTGAATGTATATTTCACAATAGTCTAAAATTTTAAAGAACAAACTAGAAATCCTGCTTCAGCCTTTTTACTTTTTGTCTCCTAGCATTTGTCTCCTGTTGATTGTCTCATTCTCCAGATTATATGTTTGTGGACATCAAATGCCTTATCTTTAATACCTTCACAAGCTCACATTTTTTTTTTCAGAATATCATGTGGAAATGGTTACATAATACATTGCTCAAAATGAGGGAATTTCATTTTAATGAAGAGATAAAGGAAGAAGGACTGTGAGAGAGTGTTTTGTATGTTAATACAAATAAAGCATTGGACCTCCACAGACATTTGTAAAAGTGCTGCTGTCATATTTCTACTGTCATTGCTTCCTTCCCTTTGACTTTCTGGAACTATCTTTTCTCTGTCTCCTTATTTACTGTCCTGTTCATACCTAGTGTTCCTTTCCTCTCTATTTACCTTTATTATGTAGCTTTTCTCTTTCTATATTTCTTTTTTGCCTTCTTATTTCCTTCCTGATTTCCCTGTTTTAATTATTTGACTTCTTTCATAGAGTATAGAAATATAATGCCAAAAAGTAAATCAAGTATAAAAAACTTAAGAGTATCTCCTTAGATCATCAGTGCCTCCTGTCATGCCTCATATAAAATAGGTACTTTGTTTCCATACTCTGTATCCCTATTTTCTTTTTCTAATCCACAAACGAATGCACATAGAATTCTTGAATGTTAACACATTTAAGTAACCTTCAATCATGTATTTAACTAATGGTGGAATATGTTAGAAGCTATTTTTTGTGAATTCTTTTCTGAGTTCCTTTTTAAACTCATATTTCCAACAGTTATCCCCTCTCCCTGTTTATATAATACAGTCATTTCACTCCCCTGCTCTCTTTCCATATGTTTTTACTTTCTCTTTCTTTTAATCTGCTCTTTGTGTTTCTTCTTTCTGTCTTGGTTTTCTAACTTTCTCCACCTGCTAAATGGCATTTACCATGCAGCCACAGTTAATGCTGAAAGACTGGATGCTTTCCCCATTAGATCAGGAACAATACACAGATGCCCATTCATTTAAAAATAGCATTATGCTAAGGTTCTATCTAGGGAAATTAGGTAAGAAAATAAAATGAAAGTGAGCTAGATTGTAAGGGAGAAATAAAGCTATGTCATTTTGAAAAATCACAAAATCTTACATAAAGAAAATCCTAAAGAATCCACTGAAAAACTATTGGCAAACAAGTTCAACTATTTTAAATTGCAAGATTAGGATAAAAAAATTTGCACTAAAAATGACCAGATAGTCTAAAAATGAAATCAAGACGATAATTCCATTTATAGTAGCATCAAAAAAATAAATAGGGCAAACATGTTGGTGCATTTGGTTAAGCTGCCTCTTGTGACACCCACATCCCATCTCAGAATGTGGCCTGAGTACTGGCTACCCTGCATGTCCAAGTTTCTACTTATGTGCTGGCGAGGTTGCAGATGATGGTCCACATGCTTGCATTCCTGCTACACGTGTAGGAGACCCAGATGGAGTTCATGGATCCTGGCTTCAGCCTGGCCCCGCCCCAGCTGTAGCAGGCAGTTGGGGAGTGAACCAGCAGATGAAAGATCTCTGTGTGTGTGTGTGTGTGTCTCTCTCTCTGCGTCACTCTGCTTTTCAAATAAGTCTTACCAAGAAAAATTCATAAATAAATTTATCAAAAAGAAGTACAAAACTAACACTCTGAAGACCATAAAACATTTTTGAAAGAAATTTTGAAAAAAACCTCAATACGTGAAAATACATCCCATCTTTATAGATCAGAAGACTTGGATTGTTAGGTGGCATTACTCTAAAAAATTGATCTACAGATTCAGCACAATTACCATCAAAATTTCAGCTTCCTTTGCAGGAACTGATCAACTGACCTTCAGATTCATAAGGAAATTGGGGATCAAGGGATCCATAGTCACCAAACAGTCCTGAAAAAAAGGAACAAATTGGAGAGCCCATACTTCTGATTTTCAAACTTACGGGAAAGCCACAGTAATCAACACAGTATGTCACTGTCAGTGGTTTTGATAAAGTTGTCAGGATAACTCAGAATCTTTTAAATAAATAGCACTTAGACAACTGGATATTTACATAATGTTAGACGCCTATTTCACATCACATACAAAAATTAACTCAAAATGGGTGAGAAGCTTTAACATAAGACCTAGCATTCTAGGACCAGCACTGTGGCGCAGTGAATTAAGTATAGCCTGCGGTTCTGGCTTCCCCTGCGGGTGCTGGTTCAAGTCCAGCGCTGGGCCAGACCAAAGTCAGGGGCCAGGAATTTCTTCTGGGTCTCCCACATGGGTGCAGGGACCT